GCGGCCAGCGCCCCTGCCCCCTGTTGTGCCCTGCTCTGTGCATGACTGGGGGTGGCGCCACAACCTCCCCATCGACCCTGCCTTGAGTGTGACAGGGGGCGGTGCCCCAACCCCGCAATCGGCCCTGCTCTGAGCCCGACCAGGGGCTGCACCTAGGGATTGGGCCTGCCCTCTGCCACCCAGGAGCAGGCCTAAGCCATCAGGTCGTTATCTCCCGAGGGGTCCCAGACTGCGAGAGGGCACAGGCCGGGCTGAGGGGCCCGCCCCTACCCCCCGAGTGCACAAATTTTTGTGCACTTGACCTCTAGTACATTTATAAATGAATGAAGGGCTCTGAGAAACCTCAGACTGTCCGTGGCCTGGCCTGGCCGAGAGAACCAGCCCTTTGTCCCAGGGCAAGGAGACAGCAACTAACAAAACTGAAATTCGCCTCTGTGGCCTTTCCACTCCCTAACACCCAAAGAGTTCTGTTCCCACAGGGCACGTAGCAGCACTGGACAGTGACTGGTGAGAAAGTAACACTTCGGCCTTCCTTGTTGAACACAAAGCAGCAGATTGTTGAGGAGCCAAGGTCAGACAGAATCGCTTGAAGTCTATCTAAGCCCTCGTACTTCTCTCATTTCTCACAGATAAGCATATTCACTTTTCCTGCCAATTCCTCTGAATAGTGCAGGAATACTAGGCCCAAAAGATGTCAATAAGGTAAAATCATGTAAAAGGTACATACCTACCATGATGACTGGCAGCCAGATACTGTGACCTTCATTATCTAAAACTTATCTCTCAAAATAACTTGCACGAAACACAAGTCTGAATATAGATACAAACCATGCAGAAGAGGGGAGCGATGTATAGTTTTTCTGTGGAAATGGAGTCTGAAGACTGATTCAAGCTTCAGCTGCTATTTCAAGGCATCGTGTTTTGAAAGCCATGAAGGCCAGAACTGAGGTTTCATATTTACCTAATCATACCTTTCATTCCTTTCTCTTACTCAGTATTCAGTATGCAGATTCTTTAAGTCCAATAAATCAAAGTGCTTCCCACTCAGTGCCTTCAGCTTCTGCCCGGCTACCCCCAAGGACCTCGCAATTAGTCTCTGGATATTAAAATGCATATGCACGGGGAAGACTGTGATTTCAAAGAATTTTAGGTCAGAAGTTGCTCTACCAAATGGGAACAGAATTAAAAGCTACTCCAAAACAATGATCTAGGTAATAAAATATTTATACTTTAAAATGTCTATACCAATTAGCAGAAATATTTATTAGGTGCGCCATAATTCTCAAGAGAAGTCTCAGCTTGGTGAGTATCACTATGCTGAAGGTTAATAACCAACTGTACCATCTTTATAACGAACAGTGAAACCCAGCTTACTACTGCCTATTACTACACTTTAAAATCAATAATTGCAACATAAAGGCCTGGGGCAGGGGTAAGGAGTGGGGGGTGGGTGGTCTGGAGGGGGTCAATGGGGGAAATAAGGGGACATATGTAATACTTTCAACAATAAACACTTAAATAATAATAATAATTGCAACATAAAAATTACTGCACAACACGCTCAAGTTACTGGCATTTAAAATCTTAAATATCTTCTTTTTACTCCTAGTCTTTAATCATTTCTCCTTTTCTGATTACCCGGCAAAGAAATTCATTTCAGATACAGTTTGCCAACATGTTATTCCTCGCAAACAGGCCACTTCCCTGCACAATCACATGTACTTTAAAGACACACTATCAGAATTCCTATATTTCTAAATAAATGCCCATATTGGTTTTTACTTACAAATAGTAAATTCTTTTTCGAAAACCAAATTTAAATTCATATCAATGTAAAACTAATGTGACATACATTAATATATGCTTTAAAATAAGAAGAAAAATTGGTTACCATATTTATAATTTCTGAATGGTGGTGGCAGGCTGGTCCTTAAAGGAATATCTATAAGAAAAAGATCATTTTTATTATAAAAAGTATATGCAGTCTTTTGGTTCTGTACTCCCATACCTCCAGTCTAAATACTTAAAAAGCAAACAAACAACAACTGATGGGGCACAAAACAAAGCTGGCATCCTGGCAAGTCCAAGGTCATGTGAAACAAGGGAACCACTGATAGGATGCCGAGCTGCTACTAGCTGAGCCAAGAATTCAGCGACACTACTGAATAAACTGGCATTTTAGTAAACACTAGAGGGCCGGTGTACGGATTCATGCACATTGAAAGGAAATTAATTAGAAGAAATATTTTAGAGGCCGGGGAGGGACTGCGGGAGGTTGGCTCCAGGGTGTGTCTGGCCCGTCTGGCCCAGTCCCAACTGGGGCCAATCAGAGCTGGGGAGGGACCATGGGAGGGCTCCAGGGCATGTCCGGCTGTCTCACCCAGTCCCAATCTGCCGGACCCCAGCAGCAAGCTAACCTACCGGAACGTCTGCCCCCTGGTGGTCAGTGCGCCTCATAGTGACTGGTGAAAAGTTGGACACTTAGCAATATTAGGCTTTTATTTTATAGGACAATCTCACCTATGTACATTTGAAATATAGAATTCACATGTATGACATTATCTTTTTATATAGTTGATGTTCGTTTAGCATGTAAATCTGGGAACCCCTTGAGAGTCTTTGGCCCATAGTGGAAACCAATGATCTAGAACAATCTTAATTCTCTTACCAAAATTCAGATAACTCAGCAAAGAAAACAAAAACAGAGCAAATATTCTTTTTAAAACAGTATTACAAACATTGATATTAGCTTTAACCAATAACATCTGATGCTACAATCCCTACAGAGGGCAATTTGGTAATATACATCAAAAATAACATGTGCATCCACTTAGAGAATTTATCATATAGACTTTGCACACTCCTGTGTGTATGCATTTGTGTGAAATGACATACATACAAATGTAGAACTTTAGCTTGTTTAAAATAGCAAATGCTTAGAAAAATCCAAAAGTCCTTCACTGGGGGTACTTGTCAAATGAATTAGAATATGCCCAAACAATGAAACATTTTTCAAATGTAAAACAATCAAAAAAAGGAGTAGGAAGCTCTCTACTAATATAAGATCTTCAAGTATGTTGACAGCAAAGAAGGCATACAGTTGAACATTATTTTTAATAAGCCACCTTTTGAATAAAAAGAAAAAATAAGAATACATGTTTGCATTGCTTATACTTTGATGGGAGGGAGCATGCTGTACTGGTCAGATAGAGAACAAGTGGGAAGGAGTCTTTCACGCTATTTTAATCTTAAAACTACATGAATGTGTTACCTATTAAAGTAAACTCTAAAAACCCACACATCTGAATTAGGAAATGTGTTTTTTGTTTTGTTTTTTAATGATTTGTCTTTATTTATTTTGTTATTCTTCTTTAATCCTCACTCAAGGATATTTTTCCATTGATTTTTAGAGAAAGTGAAACAAAGCGGGAAAGATAGAAATATCGACGTGAGAGAAATACATTGATTGGTTGCCTTCTGTACACACCCTGACCAGGGCCCGGCCAGGGAGGAGCCTGCAACTGAGGTACATGCCCTTGACCCGAATCAAACCTGGGACCCTCCAGTCCGCAGGCTGACACTCAATCCACTGAGCCAAACTGGCTAAAGCAGGAAATGTGTTTTTTAAGTGCATATGCTTTTTAGAGGTTAAACACATACTGAAATTAAAATATAACACATTCATTCATGTTACAGCATTTAAAGTACCTATTACCAGATATTTCAGGGACAGGGTCAGTAAGAAGTTACCACCCAACCAGTGTTAAGCCTCAACCTATGAACCAGGAGATCAGGGTTCGATTCCCAGTCAGGGCAACTCCCCAGGAGGAGGCGTGCAGGAGACAGCCAATCAATGATTTTCACATTGATATTTCTCTCTCTCTCTCCTTTCCTCTCTAAAAGTCAATTAAAAATATTTTAAATAAAAAATTATAGCATTACCTCCCTATCATAGCCCTTTGCTGGGGCTGAGACCCAGCTCGTTAAGGAGCTCGTTAAGGAGCTCGTTAAGGAGCTTGTTAACTCAAATTATTCTATCAACTCAATGCAAAAAATCAGCCGAGAGACAGCTGGGATCTCAAAAAACTCGTTAGTCGGGACACTCGTAAGTCAAGGCCCCACTGTATTTCTATCTTTTTCTCTCTCTCCCTTCCTCCTTCTGAAATCACTAAAAATATATTTAAAGAAGAAGTTACCAAAACAAGTCCCCACTCTTGAGAGCCCATGTTCCTGTGTAAATCCTATAACAAAGGTATGTTCACAGCCAGGGCTACGTCTTGAGTGTGATTCTCACCTGCTGCACATTACAGTCGCTCAGCCCAGCACTAGAGCAGACTTGCAACAGGCTGGTTCCAAGAATAAATGTTTAAATATAAAATAAAAACTTCCTGAGAAGATTCTGAGACAAACAAGTTTACAGGGGGCAGCCAGATGACATAAGTGAATGAAGTGGGTGAAACAGAAGGTGGCCGTGAGATCTGATAGTAAAGCACCTGTGGACCCTGAGAAAGAAGATACCTACCCAGCAGGCTATTGATGGCTAACTGGTCTCAAATGTAAAAGCAGAGTCTGGCAGCCATCTCTACACAGGGGCCTCTCACACTTCAGGGAGAAATCTGGACTGAACTGCCTGCCTGCACTGTGTTCCTGCCATCTGAGCCAGCCCTTATAAAGGAGTTCCTGGAATCCTATTTCAACCAATAGGATTGAGGCTTTCTCCATCCATTGGAGCTGCACAGCATCTCCTATCAGCATCTTCACCAATCGATCAGGGCAGCTCCATTCTGACCAGTCAAAGCAGTGACTTTTGAACTAGTCAAACTGTGAGAATTTGGAGTCCTCATGTGCATGAGCATGAACCAATCAGGGACCAGGGGTGCAGATCTCTGTCTAGTAAACTAGCTCCCCTCTGGCCCCAAAGTGCATTTTTCCCTTCCACTAAAGACTAAAGACTGTATTTCCCTGGCTGGAGCTCAAACACCAGAGATGAAACACTAAAGACATCTCACCAGACCACAGTGGAGCAGAGTAGAACAAGCAGTGTGTAGTAGACTGGCACAGAGCAAGTTGGCACTGCACGGCGCAGGGCAGAGTGAAAGAAGCAGGTGGAGCAGATTGGGGCTGCATCTCCCCAGGGCCACCTCATAGCTATGCTGCTCCACAGCTGTGCTGCTTCACAATTAAGCCTGCCCCTTGAGTGTGTCGCTCATGTATGTGTAGTTATAATATGGTATGTTCTGAAGCTGTCCACCAGATGCACTGGCTCTGGGGCTTCCTGAGAGGTGCAAAGTCAGCCACTGCCTGGGGCCACCCAGCAGGAGCTACAGAGCAATCTACAGATGGCTGCTACTTGTGGTGGGCTTAGCAGAGCCCAGGGGAGACCAAGCTATTTTGGACCTCTTATTGCTAGGTATGGGTCACACTGACACCAGCCACTGCTCGTTTGAGAGATTTTAGCAAAGTCTAAAGCCTGACCCAGGACAGGGCATTCATATGAAAAAGCCACTGTAAACGGTTTGGGTGGGGCTTCAAATGGATGGGGCTGAGCTCAGGGAATCACCAGGGTGGAGTGAACACAGTGAGCTAAGCTGATGGAAATGCAGATACGGCTGCTAGTCAGCTCTGCGGCTGCAGGTCTCCGCACAGGAACAATGACCCCTGCAAGCATCCCTGTCTGAGAGAAAGCCGTTCCAATGCCAGACAATCCAGTTCCTCCCCATATGTCCCTAGATCTCCCCAAGCTGTTGCCCCAGTGCTGGAGCTCAGAGGGAGCAAATCTATGTAAGTTCATGTGCAGGCTCTTTAAGAGGAACTGCCTGGGTTTCCAGCAGCCTCACTGTCACTCAGCCACAATTCCCACTGGTTTTGAAAGCCCGAAGATATGGGGATTTCTCTTCCCAGCTCTGGAACCCTGGGCTGGGGGTCTGGTATGGGACTGGGAACCCTTGATCCTCATAGGAGGCCTCTGCAGCTAAGATATCCCTCCTTATTATAAAAATGGCACACGTGGGTGTTGGACCAGCCTGTTCCATGCCTCCACCCCTCCTACCAGTCTCAGTGTGCTTTCTTCTTTACTTCTCTAGTTGTAAGACTTCCATTCAGCCAGCTTTCAGGCAATTCTCAATGATGGCTGTTCTGTATTTTAGTTGTAATTTTGATGTGGTTGTGGGAGGTGGCAAGTACTGGTTTTTACCTATGCTGCCATCTTGGTTCTCTCCTTTGGCTATTTTTCAGATTTTCTCTTTATTACCAGTTATAAGCAATTTGATTATGATATGCTTTGATGTAGCTTTTTTAGGATTTGTTAAACTGCCTGGATATGTGGGTTTATAATTTTCACCACATTTGTAAAATTTTCAGCCATAATTTCCTCAGATAGGTCTTCTGTTCCCTTGTTCTAGATCCTCTCCTCATGGACTCCAATTACATGTATATTTGGCTACTGGAAGTTGAAGTTGCCCCATATACTCCCTATGGCTCTATTTATTTTTCTTTCAGTCTTTTTTTCTCTCTGTGTTTTATTTCAAATATTTTGTGGCTAAGTTTTCACGTTTACTAATCTTTCTTCTGTTCATATTATCTACATGTCAATGCTATCCAGTGTATATCCATATTAGACATTTTCTTTTCTGTCTCTGGATTGTTGTTTTTTTAAAGTATTTTCCATCTTCAACATGCTCAATCTTTCCTCTCCCTTAACTATTTGCAATATAGTTATTAAAAAAAAAACTGTCTTAATTGTCCTTGTCTACTAATTCTGTCATTTGCAACATTCCTGGATTGGTTTCAAATTGACTTATTTCTCTCCTAATTATGGTTCATGTTTTCTCTTTACATGACTGGTAAGTGCTGATTTGTTGCAGGACATTTATTGAGTGCTGGATATATCTGTATTCTTATAAACACCCTGAGCTTTGTTCTGAAACAGTTAAGTTACTTGGC